AAGCTACAATTTTTTGTTTATACCGTGCACCGTCGCAAACTCGAACCATTTATTTTTCAATTTTGCATGCTCGCGCTTTGTCATCCGCCATTTTCAATAAATTTATTTTGCAACATTGAAATAAATTGATTCTTAAAGTAGAGATTTTTAGCTTCATTTCCATATTTTATAGAACTTTCTATCTTTATTATTTACGAAGTTATCGTCAGTTGAAATTTGATGAATTTTTCCCACATTTTCAGTGTACCGTCTTTTTTCGGGTGAGTGTATATATATATTAACATTTCCTTTTTTAATACATTTCTTAACTGCGGCAAATAAAATGCTTTTTATCGCTGAAAATTTAATTATTATCTAATCTATATTTTATATTTTAGATGACTTGTCAATGTGTCACCTCAATCATGGGAAATAGAAATAATGTATTTATTAAAAACATATGTATTTATTTAATATGTTACATTGATTTTATGATGCACATTACATCACTCTATGAAACAAATAGAAAACAACCGCTATCAAAAACTGATAACGATCGAGTCTGAAAAATAAACCTCTGTAATTAAATTTTTATTTTTATTTCAATAAAGACTACAAGAAAATAATACTTTCATTAAATTTTAGATTAAAGATAGATATTTTGTCAAACAAAATGCCAAAAATTATTGTACAATATTAAATGACATAATGTTTTATTTTTATAATATATCATCTTGGATAAAACACGTGAATAAATATAAATGCAAAAATTTTGTTCTATAAAATGAAAGTTCATATTGTTCGGGGAACTATATCAAGTTTCAATCAAAATATCAACTGTAGAAAATAGAAAATATTATGAAAAATATATTTTTTTCATTCAAATCTTAACTATATAAATAAGAGATTGGAAGACCTAGATACAGAAGTAAAATGTAATTAAATAGCGAACAAATCCAAGATCCAGCAAAATACTTTGTCACGAATAAAAATAAACTATATATATATATCTAATATTAGATTAACATATTATGCTTTCTATACTATATTTACATTTGGCTGGTCTTTACATTACCAACAAACGTAATGTAAGTCAAAAGTTGTTAAGTTCAAAAAATAATTACACGATAGCAGAATATTTTGAAATTATTAGTAAATCCTTGAAATCTATAGAACAAAAAATAAATATTCGATTAAAAGATTTTAAGACGTAATCGTAAATGTTACAAACGGCAGCATAATACACAGCTGCCTTTTAAATAAACGTTTTAACAGATGTAAAAATAAGATTAACATACCAATACAGAAGAACGTACTTTCGAAAATCTTCCGGTTTCGAAATCTATCAAAATCCAATAATACACATTATCGCCTTATGCAAACAAATAATTTCATGATCTTACGTTGCTGCCACTGAGATGATATTTACAATTCACATTCATTTTTATTATCTCGCGTGTTTTCAAATTAGAAAAAGATATAAAAGTTACCCAGTAATGAAGTCGTTCTCTTCATTTTACAGTCCACAGTCGTCCACCAAATACACATATGAGTTACTTGACACTCTTGTTCACAATAATTTTATCCTGCACACCATGTAGAAGATTCGTAATTTTGATAGGTGGCGGCGGTGGATGCACACCAGGATGCTTCTTCCGATGCAGCATCATCGGCGACCGCTGAGTGAAGCTCTGCCCGCAAATGTCACAGACGTAAGGCCGCTCGCCTACGTGAGTCAGCAGATGGATCTTTTGCGAACTGAGGCAGCCGAAGGTCTTGCCGCAAATGGCGCAGAGATACGACTTCTCGCCCGAGTGCGTTCTGAGATGCTTCGTCAGGCCGTACTTGAACTTAAACTCCATACCGCACTGCTCGCAGACGTACTTCATTTTATGCAACTCAGCGTGGCACTCCAGATTCTTCTGAGTCTTAAAGCGCTTCCTGCAAATTTGGCACTCAAACTCCTTAACTTTAGTCTTGTGCTTGTAATGCTTGTGGAAGTACAGGGAGCTCTTGCTGGCGTACGACGTGCCGCATATATCGCAAACACAAGATTCGGTATCGTGATCCTTCATATGCGTCGTATAATCGGACTGCACTTTGAACATCTTGCCGCACTGCTCGCAGGTGTAGTTATAATCCTCGGTGTGCTTGCGAATGTAGTGTATCTTCAGATACGGCTTCGTGCGCGCCTTGAAATCGCACAGAGTGCACGCGTGCAACTGCGCGGGTTCATCGTGGATTTCCATATGCCTAGAGAGGTACGCACCGGTTTTGAAGCCTTTTGAACAAACCGTGCACTTGTGCGGCCGTGAGTTGCTGTGTTTGAACATATGACTAGTGAGTTTGCTCTTGCGGTCAAACGTGATGTAACAGATCTCGCAAATATGCGGCTTCTTCTTCGTGCTCGATGCGTGCTGCTTGCCGGATCGTGTTCTCGAGAATTCATCTTCATGTCGTTTCCTGAAGTCCAGAGGTGTATCATCTAAATCATCAAAATCGTCACTTACGGTTTTACTTTTCTTCCTGGTTTCAATGCGACTTTTGGTCTTCTCAACGTGATTATCCTTTTCTTTCTTTACTTGTTTTAACAATCCACTTTTGGAACAATTTTCCTCGGTAGGCGGCGGTTCTTTCATCATAAACACGCTCAATGACTTTGGGATGCGAAAATAATCGTCTTCCAGTTTTACTATCAGAAAACTTGGCGAGAGCGGATCTACCTGATTGCACCTAAAAAAATTATAGAAATTGTCAGTCGATTTTATACGTTAATATAATGAAGGTATGATTGTGTTGGTTGCACGTGAGCATGCATTGGTGCAACTTTAGCTAAAAATATCATTAAATAAGAAGCAGAGTTAAATTCCACGAAATTAACTTCTTTCCATTGTTCAGAAATATTTCTGGAAATAAATAATTCCATTAATCTAATAATTTTGAAATTATTTCATGAATAAATAAATTGATAAATAATAGACTAACTTTTGATAACTTATAAAAATTGATTTCATATTACATTAACATAATAAGCTTGAAATAAACTTTAGAATGACGTGAACAAAAATATTTACATGTAACACTTGTTTATAAAATATTCATACACTTGATTTCTGTAAAATCAATGCGTTAAGTAATCAGTAATTAAGTAGATTAAATTTTAACAGATTAAACAATAGAGAAAATTTAATAACATTTTTTCGAATAAATCAGTGAAAGCAATATTGTGTGTTTTATATTTCAAAATATAATTATAATTTTATTTCAACATATAATTTTATTTATATACTTATTGAGCCGTTGTATCTTTCACAATTTTTATCAAATCATATTACTTAAGAAAACAATATTCACAACAGAAATTTTCACTGGGTATTTCTAACTTTCACCATTTCTCTGTACGATCTTCATTTTGTAATATGATTAAACTATGGATGGTAGAAATAATACAATAATTAATCGTTATTCACCATCATTATTCAAAAATTAACTAAAATGCGAAACAAGAAAATAGTAATTTTTCATTTACATTCCTATTAATCAAATGCCTAATAATTTCTCTTTGATATAGTAAAATTTTCATTACAATTTGATTAAGTTGAAATGTATAAATTAACACATTTCTTTCTGATATTTAAATTAAATGGTTTCACTTCATGTAAATTGTAAATATTCTCCGAAAGAAAGAACATTCGTAGAGAATAGATATTTATATATATCTATCATATAAATATCAAAATATATATCTATCAAACTTTATCTGCAAAAAAACGTAAGAATATGATTGAAATCATATAATATTTTTAAGCAAATACAATTAAGAACTTGTGTGAATAGTATATTCTAATATTAATAGTATGCCTTACAGATTCATTAAATAACGAAGTGTTATAAAATATCTCGCAGAAAACGATAACTTTACAGGTCCTCATTAATGATCAATCATGACCGCGCGTCCAATATAAAACTGTTATCGATGTAATCGCTTTGAATTTTCTGGAGATAATTTCTCGCTAGTTCAGCTATCTGCGGATGCGGTGACGATATCGGTGGCAGTGGCCCGGGATGATTCTTTCTGTGTCTCAATAGACTGGAGCGTTGCGTGAAATCTTCCTCACAGATATCGCACTTGTATGGCCGTATGCCAGCATGCGTGAGTACATGCTGATAAAAATTGCTGATGGACGTAAATGTTTTCTGACACAAGATGCAAGTAGAGATATTCGTGTGGCCGTGCTTGAAGCGTTTGTGACTGCTAAGTTCGCGCGTGCCACTGTACTCTTTGCCGCATTCGTCGCACTTGAAGCCTTTCTTGTGCAACATCAAATGTTTGTCCAGTCTACTTCTATGATGGAACCTCTTGCGGCACAAGTGACACGGATACTCGTACTTGATCTCGCGATTCCGCTTTTGATGCCGCCACTCGTGAGCCTTCACGTCCTTGACTTCCTTGCCGCAGAAGCGGCAGATTTGCAGTTGCGACGCGTGAGTTCTCTTTATATGATTCGTCAAATCGATCTGCAGCTTGTAACTGCGACCGCAATGTTCGCAAACAAATTTTGACTCGTAATCGCTATGAATGCGTATGTAATGTCTCTTCAGTCCATCTCCACTTTTGTACTTTACATGGCAAATCCGACACTCGAAGAAATAATCTGGTCGATGAGTTCTCTTGTGCTCTTCCAATGCTCTTAACGTATAACAAGCTCTCTTACACCTGTCGCATTGATAAGGTTTACGATGCACGTATCTGACATGTCGCTCAACTTTCTTGGCGTTGTCGAAATGTTTCTCGCAAAATGGACACGTATTTCTTATCTCTTCCATAACTTCGTCCACCTCTGTCAGTTCTTTGTGCGAACTCGATAAATCAGAATCTTGCGGCAATCTTGCATTCGACGAAGATTCCATCTTGGTTGAAATGTCGTTCTCTTTTACAGATGAATCTAATGATTCTAGATCAATCAGTTCTAATTTTCGACATTGAGCTATGGAACTGACTCTTCCGCTTGTTCTTGTAGAATTAGATTTATTTTTAACAGATTTCCACGGACTCAACAAAATGGAGACATAACGGATAGGTCCTTTTCGGTACTGCCCTCCTTTCTGCCTGATGATAGGCTTTTCCCTGAAACAGGGATAAATTGTGTCAGCATATTAAGTATCATTATCGCTTTTTAATTAAGCATATATTCAAATATCGGTAAGATAATAATTATTGCATAAGAAAACGTGCTATATCTATAAAAAAATTAATCTTACCAATCATTACACTGCAATTATCACAATCAATTTTATTAATTACCAAAAAACTTATATACAAATTATCAAAAATTAGCATCTCACTGTCTTTTGTATATATAACCAAACATATCATCAGTCTAAAATAAAGATTTTATAGTATTATTTTAATAGTATGAAGTCGCGCACTCAAATAAAATAATATAAAACTTATTTTAACATTATAAAAAATAAAATAGATATTTGTCTCTAAACAAAATAACTGTTATGTTAAAAATATAAACAAGAAAAATATGCACATAAATTTCATGTAGCTAATATACTCGTAATGTTAATTCACATGATAATTGTATAAAGAAAAAATTTTGCAAAAAAATACTTCTTTATTGTACTTTACGAATATCTTATTAGTATAGAAAGTATAAAAATTATATACAGTTTTTCATTTATCTCTGTGTTCACGAAATATATACTTATATAATAGATTATAACAAAAAAAATGTCAGTCATACAAAATTTTTTTTAAATATCTCAATTCAGCGTTGTAATCAATTAAAAAAAAATCAGTCTTTTGTAAATATACAAGCTGTCTCTGTAAAGGCAGGATATGTATACACTACTGTTTACTCGATTTGGCGTAGATTCTTTCTTTATATCCGTTTCAAAAATAAAAGTTCTCATATTTATGTCTCATAATTATTTCAAATTAAAATATATTTGTCTTTAACACAAAAAATTTAACACAAAATTAAAATTTTTAATTGTGATATATGTAAAAATAAAAAATCAATTATTGTACAAATATATTAATAAAAACAAAATATTCTAAACATTAGGGAACATCTTTTACGTAGATAACGATTGTGTTATTGCTTCTCTTGCATTATTGTTCCAAAAACTTCTGTAAAAAATTCTTAGCTAAACCAGCAATGGGAATCTTCGACTTATAAGGCGGAACAGGACCGGGATGATTTTTTCGATGTCGGAAGAGACTAGATCGTTGAGTGAAATCTTCGCCACAGATATCGCAGTTGTACGGCCTGATACCAGCATGCGTAAGAATATGTTGAGCGAACTGGTTGCCTCTTGACATAAATGATTTCTTGCAAATCGGACAAAGCTTGTCCGGTTTGTGCATTCGCTCTTTGTGATACTTCAATTGTCTGTACGAAATGACAACCAAGTTGCATTCAGTACACTTGTAACCCTGCTTGTGCAACAATAGATGATTGTCAAGACGGGTTTGATTCTTAAATTTATTAGCACAAAATTGGCACGAGAACTTCAAGCTACCCGTCTCGGCTCGTTCTTTATGTTTCCATTCGTGATTGCGGAGATCCGTCACAGATTTCCCGCAATATCGGCATATATAAATGCTCGTGCTATGCTTCCTCTTGATATGATTGAGAAGATCCACTTTTAGTTTGAACGACTGACCGCAAGAATCGCAGACAAATTGAACAGCGATGTCGCTGTGCGCCCGTATTTGATGTCGCTGCAACGTTTCCTTGCGTTTATACTTGATGTGGCATATGTCACATTTGAAGAAGTAATCGTCACTATGAATCTTACGATGTTCCGTCAAACTTTGCTCGGTATAGCAAGATGTGCGACACATGTCACACTTGTATGCTCTCTTGCGGTGAGTTTTACCATGTGTTTCTTCAAACTTTTCTCACAATCGAAACGCTTTAAACAAAACGGACACGCGTTTCGTACTTCATTCAATACTTGATCCACTTTTTTTTCATCATCTTCCATTTCTTCTTTTTCCACAATATCTTCAAACGATGATACTTCTGTTGGAGAGTTTATCTTTTGTTCGTTCAATAAATTTTTATTTACTTCTATATGAAACTCTTTCGTTATATTCTTTCTCTTCGTTTGTTGTTGCTGGCTTGCGCTTCTTGCTGTGCGTTTCACACTTTTTTTGGCCTTTGTCACAACGGGAGTATGCATTACAATCACTTCTCGATATTTATCACCATCCCACACTGTGGTCCACCATCCCCTGAAACATCCATTAATTTCAATCAGTACAAACGTGAGATGCGCAACATTGTTGCGTAAATTCTCAAATCTTCAAAAATGATAAAAAAACAATTTTTAAAAATCATTGTGTGTGTTAATATTTTAATAATAGATAAAATCAAACAACTAAATATTTAATTAGAAACACATTATCCTATCTTAAAAAAGGCATGTAAAGTCGATACTCGCATTTATTGCTGTCTCTTTTCTGCGATACTGATTGGTTAACGCATTGCGTGCGTGTTATCAAGCGGTTATCGTTGCAAAAGTTGCATACTCTTACAGTTCATATCTTGAGAAGGTTATGCAAGTATTTTTAAAAATTACTTTTGTGTTTTATAAAAAATGTTCAGTGTTTTCTTAGAGTTATAATGTATATTTCTTTGTAATGAAAAGAATAAATAACGTGTGTGTGGTGTACGCTTGTGTGTGTGTCTGATTAAATAAGATTACGATAATACTTGCATTTATACCATTTCTCAATTATTTACGTATTATATTTTGAATGTCGACTGCAGCATTTAGGCATTCAAAATAGAGAATTCTCTTAACAGTCTCCGTTGTATTCTAACAAATTCGAAGGACATCGTACCTAGCTAGCTCGACTTTGGCGCACAAAACTGAAGTCGACTGAGCAGCAACGGTGGCGGCGGCGGATGATTGCCGGGATGTCTGCGACGATGCACCATCATGCTGCTACGCTGCGTGAAATGCTGTTCGCAGAGATCGCACACGTACGGTCTCTCGCCCGTATGAGTGAGCTCATGCACCCTGAGAGCCATGGATCTCGCAAAAGCTTTCGTGCACTGCTTGCACTGATAGGGTCGTTCGCCGGTGTGCTTGCGACTGTGCAATTTCAGTGCGTGATTCGTCGCAAACTCCTTGCCGCACTGGGCGCACAGGAATCTCTGCGAATGTAGACTCACGTGTTTACGAAGAATGTGCTCCGAGACGAAATTTTTATCGCAAAGATCGCACTGATGCTGCTTCGGCGCGGTCTTTCGCTTTTCGTGAATTGCGCGCTTATGCGCGATCAGATACGTCTTCTGCGAGAAAGTGAGGCCACAGTACTCGCAGATGAAGGACTTGGTGTCTAGATGACTCGCTTTGTGATCCTCAAGATCGTAATTCGACATGAAGCCTTTGCTGCATTGTTCGCAACGGTATCGTAGATCGCGCTGATGCACCCGTCGATTGTGAGTCCTCAACGAAACTTTGTTCGTCGTCGTGAAACTGCACGTTTTGCAGGCATACGTGACGTTCCTGTGGATTTGCATGTGGCTGCTTAGCTCGAACGAGCGTTTGAAGGCTCTCTCGCAAATCGTGCATTTATACGGGCGCACATCACTGTGCTTCACCATGTGGCGTTTCAACTCTCCTTGTCGAGTAAAATACACTTGGCATATCGGACATTCATACTTTGTCCGCTCCGGTTTTCTTTTGCATTTCTTTTTCGCCGCATCAGTTGAAGCGCTCCTCTCGCCACTAAAAGCGTTGGTTTCCTTTCCTTCCTCCTCTCCGGCCATGCTTACTAAGTCTTCGACCGTTGAATTCGAACTTACTTTCAGTCGGCGCTTTTCGGATTCTTCTTCGCTACGATCGATCTTGATATCCGACCCTATGAACACTCGAACCTCGATCACTCTGTAAGCAACAATAGTAAGTTTTCAGCATGCTATACACAGTCACATCGCCAAATCGTTCGTTGATACTTCTTCTTGATCGTCTGAAGTTTCTTACGAGAATAAGCGATCCAAGGATTAAATTAATCAATATAGGTATATAGAAAAAGCAACGCTCGTTCACTTCAAGATTAAGGAAACTGACTTAAGCGACAAAAATAAAATAGTTTCATAGTCACACATGTTTTATGCATAAGACATTTTATTAAACGAATAACGAATATCGTTAATGATGATTAACATAAGTTTTTTCGATGCATCTTATTCACATTCGAACGAGCAAGCTTGGAGTATACTGCTTTATCTGTACAAAAATATTAAAAAAGAAAAGAAAAAAATAAGAAAAAAAAAAAATTAAATCATCTTTTTTTTCAACAAGATTGGCTGAAAGTTATAACAAGTTAATCTTATCTAGACTAAAAAAATAGAACAACAATATTCATAACGGAACATTTTGAGCATGAATAGAGTACAAATGTATAATTCACGAAGAACCGAACGGACAAATCATGCGCATAAATCTTTTGAGCCTTACATGCTTTAAGTAAACATTAAGACCAGTGTACAAAAGATATCATAGTGATTTATCGTGAAGTATCCGACCCAACATCGGCGCTCTATCGATGTCACTCAAACATCAACGCAATCATATAGCATATATAGATTAATTATTTATAATAATCCGAAAGGTTCTTCCAGTTTCTTTCCTTTGTTGTTACGGTACACGGGTAACAACTCGTCAGGACTCACTAATCGCTCACTATTCTTAATATTAAATGTGGTCGCCACTAGCTTAATCGTCAACGGCACTAACAAGAAGTTTCAATCAGTTCAGAGAAAGTTCATCGTTGCAGCATTAAACGCACGTGGACTTTTGATGGGCTGTCAAGTTGCCCTGGCAAGAGAATCCACGCTGGCAGATCTGGCATACGTAGGGCCGTTCACCGGTGTGCCCGCGCCTGTGAATTGTCAACGTCGACCTCTGCGAGAACGCTTTCGGGCACTGATCGCACTTATATGGCTTCTCTCCCGTGTGCACTCTCCTGTGCATCCTCAGATTTTCCGAGTCGGTGAAACCTTTTCCGCAGACGTCGCAGACGTAGGGTTTCTCTCCGGTATGAATTCGCCTGTGCTTCTTCAAGTGCTCGGCGCTGCTCAGACTCTTGCCGCAATAGTCGCACAGATAGAGCTTCGTGGGATTGTGACTCTCTTTGTGCCGGAAGAGCGACCTCTTTGTGGCAAGTACGCGGCCGCAAATGTCGCAGGCGGTGCTGGTCACCTTGTTGGCCTTCAGCTCAGGATGCAAGCGTCTACAGTGCGCGGAGAGCTGTCGTCTCAGGTAGAAGGCGTTGCTGCAGAGCTGACAGACGAACGGCTTCTCGCCCGAGTGAATGTTGTAATGTTCCTGCAGATCGAGCTTCTTCCGGAAACGCTTGTCGCACTCGTTGCATTTGAAGGGTAGGTCCGCTTTGTCAATGTGACGCGTCATGTGAATGCTAAGTGCCGCCAGAACGGTAGTTTCGTAGTCGCATTGCTTGCACATGTAACTCGGGAAGAAATGCGTCTTCTCGTGCCTCGTTAAATCGCGGAACAATCGAAACTTTTTAGGACAGTGCTTGCAGGGAAGATCGCCAACTGTGTGGCGCAACAGGTGCTTTTGATAATTGCTCTTGTGCCGGAAGACCTTGTTGCAGGTCTCGCAAAGAAATTGTAACTCGGTCTTCTCTTTCTTCACCTTTTTCAGTGATGCGTTACGGCCACCCACGCCCGAGGAACCGCCTTTGCGAGCGCTCTTACGTTCCGAATGTATCTTCATGTGCTTGCGAAGGCTTAACGAGGTTCTGAAGACCCGGCCGCATTGAGCGCACGCATTCTTCCGCTTACCTTTGTGCTCGATCTCATGAGTATCCAACAAGGATTGCGAGGCGAAGAAGACGCTGCAGTGCTTACAGTGATACGCCAAAGGAAGATCTTCGTCGTCATCTTCATCGTTTACTTCCTGCTTTATGGGGCTTTGCTCGGGATTCGTTGAAGCCGCGGTGGTCTCGTCAGTCGTATCTGCCGGTTCCGCCTTCGACGAGGGCTTTGCGGGCTCGCCGTTCTTCCTCACCAAGTCGAGCTTGGAGAACATTGCCATCGGGTAATACTCTTCGGAAAACGATAGCTGGTTGTACCTGAAAGGAGAAATTCAGGCGGATATCAGTATCGAATACCCTTGTTGCATCGAAACGATCTTTTTTTTCATTATCCGATCTCGTTGTCTAGTGAATTATTCTATTCCTGTAAATAAAATTGCTGACCTTACAACTTAATTAATCTAAATCAGATAACTTTATAAAAAAGAAATTATTGCATCGTTTTGATTACTTAAAAAAACTGACTAATAGCTAAAAATTTGTATCTAGATATATAAGAATAGAGATATATACTTGAAGTGTAAAAGAAAGCGACGTGATGAAAGCTTTCAATAGATATACAAGTCTTAAGTAGCATTTCTATTACAATAACACGTAGTGTAAAAATGCATCCCACTGATTTGAAAACATTAATTGCTGCTTTTATTGCAATATTCTGTGTACAAAATAAACATATGCATGTTACAGCCTTTTTTATGTTTTTCTCTACGTAAAAACTAGCCTACGAATATTTGATATTACAATCTTTGCACCAAGTCTCTTAAAGTCTCTTACATAAATCTGTAACAATTTACTTCATAAAATATTATCGTTCAAAAACGAAACGTTTATGTTTTACTATAATATAAAATTTTAAACAAATAAAATAAATTCGTACAAACTAAACATTACAGCATTCAAATTAATTTTTTTGATTCCTGATAATGTTAACGCAATTTTTTAAACATATTTATGCGACAAGAAATAACTACGTCAGTCGGAAACTACGTCATGTATAACGCTACGTTTTCCAGAAGACATTGATTAAAATTAGATGTTTAATCATACAATACCATGAATGCATAATTGAAATACGAAGTGGCCGTTGACTATTAATTCGCTAACCTTATGTCACAAAATGTGCTGGAATGCACATGAGTTTAATACTATCACTTCAGAGCGGTATTTTAAATGCAAAATGCAATTGATGGTCTCCATCGTTCAATGTGAAAGTCTAATGGAAGTAAGCATTAAAAATACGTAACTACATGGGTTGGTGGCTGATCATTGCGTTAACCACATGTACTTTATTATGTGCGTTAAGTAATCCTCTAGATACAAACGACTTGCTACAACAACTACACTGATACGGTCTCTGACCCGTGTGATATCGTTTATGTATAACAAGCGTCGAGTGTTGCGTAAAGGACTTCCCGCAGGTATCGCACGAGTAAGGCTTCTCGCCAGTGTGAGTTCTCTTGTGTACGACTAGTGTCGTCCTCTTGTGAAAAGCTTTGCCGCAGACGTCGCAGACCAACGATTTCTCGCCGCCATGAAGGCGCAGATGGTCCTGAAGCGATCCCTTGGACGAGACGGACTTGCCGCACAGATGGCAATCGTACTTGTTCTCGCCAGTGTGCGACTTGACGTGCACCAACAGTGAGTTCTTGTAAGCGAATGTCTTGCCGCAGAATTCGCACTGGTGCTTCACAGGTTTGAAATTCGGATCGTGGATCTTCAAGTGACGCACTAGAGTGTGATTGTTGCGGAATGACTTGTTGCAGGCGGTGCAAACGTGTTCCTTAGCGCCGTGCTTCACATTCATGTGTGCGCGGAGTTCGGAATTGGTGAAAAAGCCCTTGTTACAGATCTCGCAGTGCATTGTATACGTTTCAAAGTGACGTTTGTGATGAGTGGCCAATTGAGAGGCTTGCACGAACGCTCGTCCACACACATCGCAAACGAAGTTTCTTTCAGAAGTATGGATTCGTCTGTGCACTGCTAAAGTATTAGTTCTTTTGAAGGATTTGCCGCAAATGTCGCACTGATGAGGACGGGCGTCGCTATGCGCTACTAAATGACCTTCGAACAAATATTTTGATCTAAAAAGCTTCGTACATACGCTACACTCGTAAAATGCTTGACCGGTGGATTGCTTTTTTACGTTTGAATGATTTTGACGAGTAATTCCTCCATTTGTAGCATCTTTAATTTTTTTTCTCAACGTTTTCGAGTTCTCAATGTTGTCAAAAGAATTATGCTCCAAATTCATAATTTCAAATTGTATATTGCACTTTTCTTCCTTCACATTTTCTTCTTCTTTAACAACAATTGAAACCCATGTAACATCCTCACATTCATCCGGTTCATTTTTTACACATATCTCTGCTGGTCTTTTATTTCTGAAAAGAAAATAAAATAAATAACGTATAATAATATATATAATGGTTGATTTTAATTTAATGTTAGCTAATACTCAGAGAACGATTTTTATTTATATAATTTTATTTTTCTATATACAATTTTCTTCCCGTTAATTTCATGTTTTATATTATTAAAAAAATAAAAGCAGTTTTTACTTTTCTTCTTTTTTTTAAAATTATTTTTAACCTTTATAATGTATATACAGAAATCATAAAAAATTAACAAGTCTTAAATATTAAAATATAACAGAATATATCAAAATTAAAGATTCGAGAGTTCTGTACTTTTGTCTTATATGTTTGCAAATTGCTATACATAATTGCTATATAATTAATTTGTTTCTGAAATTGTTAATTTAATCATAATCATATGCTTTTTCCTGTAAAACAAATTTTCATAAAAATACATTTATTTTTGTTATTCCTCACACTATAGTAAATTCTCTTAGTTTCGAAATGTAAAATAATGCATACCTTTCTAGAACTTGCAGTAAATTTTTATTATAATATTTGGAGTCCAGAGATATATAGATATATTGATGATTATTCCATCATCGATTTTCATTATTCATATAAAAAGCCTTCATTCTGCTAGTTACTTAATACGTCACATAAAATTTTAATAAACTGTGAAATAAGTATAGAAATTTTCAATAGCAAATCCGCGATTATAAAAAGCAATATATAATGTATTCAAATAATATATCTTTTATTCCTAAAATCTAAGACAACATAAATATAACTAATTTCATGATATAAATTAATTTGAAAAAGATTTTATTGACGAATCTCACCTGGATACATTTATCGTTTTATATATTATTTAATACGTTTATTCTACATTAATATTCAACATAATTCAATAATTTTTTCCCAACGTTTTACGAACATCGTTGAATATCGTCTCTTTATATTAAATTTATATTCTCACATGTAACAAAAACTACATCAACAATAATTTTATATAGATAATTATAAAATAAAAATTAAAAAAAAAAAAACTTTCATTTACAAATTCCATTTACAAATATATCTATCTAATGGTCGACAGTTTTGAGCACATTTTATAAAGTAGAAATATAGATTAGTAATCTGTGAAATAAATGTTAGTTTTTAACACTATTTATGCGTAATATATACATTTCTTGTGATTATTATCAGTTTCATATCTCGAATAAAAAAATTAATATTTTCCATATGCACTTCGGCAAATATATGTCCACAAAAAATGGATGGAGTTCCTCGTTGAATAAGTAATTACAAAACGGTATATAGCATTTATTGTCTAATCACAAAAAAAGATATAATATACGCAAAGTTTTGCATTTATACTCTTGGAACACAACCATCGCCGCACATAAATTTCAATTTATATCTAATAGCGTTTAATGTATTATCTTTAGAAAAATGAAATTGAAAATTTGCGGCGCGTATTTAATACTAGACGGAGCATTAAGTATGAATAAGTATATTAGCCTTGTTAAATGTCTCATTTACTCTTATTGTGAGATTTTATATGTTCATTCAACGAGCCTTGTTGCGTGAATCTTTTCTGACACACCTTACACTCATAAGGTCTTTCGCCGGTATGTGTTCTCAGATGCACAATCAAATATTTCCGTACACTAAACGCCTTGCCGCATACTTCGCAAACATGCGGTTTCTCACCCGAGTGTATACGCATATGAACTTGCAGATACCCTTTGCTGCTGACGGGTTTCCCGCACAACTCGCACGTCACTTGATTCTCGCCGGTGTGTTTCTTAAGATGCACCTTCAACGCGGCTTTCCAGTAGCTCTCAAAATTGCAAATATTGCACTTGTGTTTTTCTCTGTCGCCGTGAGATTTCATGTGTATGTTGAGATATGCCGCGCTCGCATACGCGGTGTTACATATTTTACATATGAACGGCTTCTCGCCAGTGTGCGTGAGCAAGTGCCGTTCCAGCGTTTGATTCGTATAAAAACCCTTGCCGCAAGTCTCACAATGTATTACGTATTCTTTATTATGCTTCTTTTTATGTAGACGTAGATCGTATCCGGAAACCTTCGAGATACCGCATATGTCGCAAGTGAACCGTTTGTTATGCTGCTTCAGATGGGTCTTCAAGAACTCTTCAGTTTTGAAACATTTGCCGCAGAGACCGCATTGAAACGGTTTCTCTTTTTGATGCACCTTCACCATATGTTTCCACAGTTTCTCTTCATTGGTAAAGATTTTATCGCAATCCTCACAACGATTTTCGATCTTCGGATTCCTCTCATGATCCTGCCTGTGTTTCAAAAACTGTAGCTTCTTGAACATTTGTTTCCCACAGATTTCACACTCGTAGATCGTCGCGCATTTACGACTCGAATCTTGTCCGTAAAATCGTTTCTTCACAGTTTTGTTTGTTTTCAATGCAGATTCTAGTTTGTCGTTTAAATGTTCCATCTTATATTCAACTGCTTCCGTAATCATTTCTTGATGACTGATGTGATGATACTCTTCCATGGTAGATATTTCGTCCTGATACTGCACTAACTCTATAACTTGCAATTCGTTGATCGATTCCAGCTTTGTATCTTCGATGTCGATCTCGTTGCACCTGTAATAAACAACACCCGTCAATACCGCATGAGAGAGCAAGAGATTATGTGCTAAAATAAATACAGCCCTCAATAACTGATTTATTCGAATTAACAAATTTTCCACATTCTATTGATAATTTTATAGGAAACATTTTTATATTATACTTAGTGCGTCATTGTCAATCAATATCGCTGGGATTATCACTGCTCGATTCGATTTTGTCTACATCTTGAAATGCTTTATGAAACTATTCTTATAGGTGTTAACGCAATTTCTGAAACGTTTAAAAATTGTTTTAGAATTTAGTCAAATACATACTATCTTTAAAGCTAAACATAAAAAATATTGCTAAATAAAATTTACATAAATTTTTACTTTACAATTTCATGTATTCTTGTTTATAATAATTAGATATTGTTCTTACCAAAATATTTTTCGAATGGTTTATGTATTGATTAATTGATTTACCTAAAATTAATCAAATTTGCTATTATTTGAATCTTTATTATAAAGACATCATTTTTATCCTTCTAATTTATTATATTTAACTGTCACAATTTTTGTTACATCTAAATTCTACGAAAAATGAATGAACGGATATAAGGAAAGTAGAAAATATTACAAATCACAAATTATTAATATAATAAAGTAAGAAGCATATATAGATTTATTATGTTATAAATATAATATACAATATAATTAATACTGCATTGAGAAAACAATTTTTTATGATTGGTGGTTAATCTCTTGGTTATGCATGCGAGAAACAAATGTTTTTTTACTCGCATGAAATAATGTATATTAAACATAAATAAAATTTAGCAATTTTTCTACTGTTTTTAAATTATTCTTTTATATATAATAGTAAAAAATAAAATTATTACTTTCTATTCCTTCACATAACTTCTTGAACATTTGTTTCCCACAGATTTTACAATCGTAAATTGTTGCATATTTGCGACTAGAATCGTGTCCATAAAATGTTTTTTAACACCTGTTTCGTTTTTTTCCCACAAAAATACATGTTTTAATTTAAATTAAACCAATAAATAATTCACGCTCACATTCTGATTCAGTTTGCCGTGGCTTAGTATGTTCTTAATACCAAATATCTCTAATTATTCATAGAACATATTATCAAATAACAATTAAAAAAGTACACATTGGAAATAATGAATAAATTAAAACCATATAATTTCATTAAAAATATTAATATGATATTTAAAACTAAATATCATTAATCGACATTAAATATGAATTAAATATATTCCAAATGTGGATGACGGTACGAAATAGTTTTATGATTTATAATAAATCTTTAGGAAGAGAGAAGAAACAAAGTACTTTTTTACTTAGGATTCTCGTGTCTTCGAAGATGTGCACTAAGCGTGCCACGTTGCGTAAAATGTTTCTCGCAGATTTTACACTTGTACGGTTTTTCACCGGTATGAGTTCGTCGATGTTTAATCAGATATTTCCTGGCGCTAAACGCTTTGCCGCAAAACTCACACATCTCCGGTTTCTCACCGGTGTGTATCCTAATATGAGTCTTCATGTATTGTCGTCCGATCAACTTGCCACAAACTTCGCATGTCACTTGACTCTCACCAGTGTGAGTCCGCATATGCTCCTTGTGATAATAACTATAGAACGTCTCAAAACTGCAGATCTCGCATCTATACTTTTTCCTCGTCTCAGGTTGATCGTGAATCCTCATATGACTTCGTAAATAAATTTGATTGCTAAAAGATTTGTGGCAGACCTCGCAGACACAGAGCTTCTCGTCAGTGTGCACGCTCATGTGAATCTTCAGAGTCGTTTTCAAGTAGAATCCTTTATTGCAAATCTTACAGAATTCCGTGAACTCCTTATTGTGCCGCCTGATGTGGAGGTTCAGATAATATTCAGACGTTAGCTTAGCGCCGCACAAGTGACAAATATGAGGTGTACCATGCAAAACTTTGTGCACGTTTAAGTATCTTTTTTTCTTGAAGATTTTATGACATTCATCGCATTCAATAGGACCTGTCGACGATTCTTTCTTCTCTTCCCGATTTCGTTTCATCTTCGTAATTATACCTTTCCATTTGTGCTTCCTCTTGGTATTTAGAAGATATTTACATTTCATCTGGCGATGCTCGATTAATTGCAATTTTTTCGAAAATATCTGTCTGCAGATGTCACACTCGTATTTCTTTTCGGCCTGACGCAACGCTTCTCGAGTTCTAAGTATAGATTGTTCTGTTCTATGCACTATCAAACTGGCTTCTGTGTCAAAATCTTCATTGCAGGAATCACAATGATATGAGGCTACTTCTTGGACAAGAATAGTTTTGTCATCAATCTTTTGAAGGATAACAAAGGATGTACTTTGTTCTTCCTTTTTCACCGCGTTTTTCTGACGAGTTCTGGAACTCCATTTTTTAGTTCTGGAAAGAAATAAAAAAAATACTGATTATATTTATAGTGAAATAAGCAAATGCATTGCAATTTTATTTTAACAATTTCAGATATTGAATTAGTCATTATACTATGCAAGAAATATTGATCGTTAAGATAAGAGAAAAAAATTATATGAAGTTAATTATACAGAATTAATAAATTTCTATAATTAATATTAAACTAACGTATATTTTATATTCATTTAAAACTTTAAATGCAAAAATTCTAAGTAAACTTGCTGTCATAATATTAAAATTTTACTGTATTACTTACTGTATGAGTTCAAAACTGCGATCAATGACACATTGAATCAGATCTCATCTTATAAAATAATTATTACAAACTAAAATTCATATATTATTTAAGTTTATATTAATTTTAAAGCCGATTTCAAAATTTATATAAAAAAAACTGCTAAAAAATATCATCTAACAAGTTATTTCATGTACGATACATACGCACGCATATCAAAATGTAATTAAAATTATTTAAAAATTGAACATTTTTTAGTGCGCAATTATAGAATGCATCTATCATAGATTATATATTAAAATAAATCTTTAACATTTTTTCGAGGACCATCAATATAAGATTTTATTAAAAATAATACTTGCTTACATCAAATATTTATTAAAATAAAAAATTATGTAAAAGTAAAATAACTCCTTTTACAAACATCTTCTACAAATATCACAAATGTTCTGTTTATGAAAAATGTTTTGTAAAATATCATTAAAATATGTAAACTTATACACAAAGCAGCCTAATTTAACTTTAGTTCAAGAAAGTTAACTTTAACGTTTTCTTTGCATGAGATATTTCTGTTTGTTCTTTGTAAAAACTTAGATTTCTTTTCAATGTTTAACATTAGATAATATTTATAATACAATATAGAAGATTACTATAATTGAGAATATACTTCAGAATGCTAATAATAATTCAGAACTACGCAGTGCAAAAAACTCAAATAATAATACTATTTAATGCCATTTAAATTAACATAATAAAATTTTTTCTCTTACAAAATAATAGGAAAAGTGAAAATTATGTAAAGTAAAATTAAATCTAATTAAATTAAATTATAACTATATATATAAAAAAAATAATATATATATATATATATATATATATTTAATATAATCAATGCGATTAAATTGATAATTGTTTATATTTAAAAAAAAAAATATATACATATATATATATATATTTAATATAATCAATGCGATTAAATTGATAATTGTTTTATATTATAAAAAAAATCATTCAAATGTTTATGTATTGTATATAAATAGGCAAATTCATGGAAGAGAATATTAATTAAAATATATATTTCTAAATATTATATAAAAACTATTGCAACTTTCCTTGTCATATCATAATTGCCTGCTGTAAAGTTTTATTCTTTCAATTTTTATATATTTATGTATAATTTTGTTTCGGTTGTATAAATAATAGCATATCACATCTAAGGCACTAAAAATTTTAGTTTCGACCATTTAACACATTATTTATTAAAATATTTAACAATTAGGCAAGTATCACACTCTTAAGAGTATGTAAGTATAATTATGTACAGCATATTACTAAATTCCTATGGTAAATGAGTACAAAGCAAATATTAAATAAATAATTATTGTCCTAAAAGTTAAATAAGTCACCATCAAAAATAATCACCTTTAAAAAAATATAAACATAAGTTCAAAAAAATACTGTCATAGTAGCACAATTAAAAATTTGTGGACGGTTTATTGTAATTTGCAAAATGTCTCGCTTTTTCTTTTTGGCGCCTTTGAACGTGGATTTACTAATTTATTATATTTGTTTCAGTATGTCCTAGCAAATTTATTTTATATTTAATAATTTATTTATCAAACTGACTACATTATTTTACTGATAAAATTTTCGGAAATATACAATCTGATCAAATCTCACAGATCTCGTATTATGTATAGTTTAGTTTGCAAGATAATTTGCGTAAATATTTTCACCTAAAACTAAATAGCTGGCATTACTTTGTCATTTTTTAAAACAGATATATTACGATAAACACCGTTATAATATCATCAGTCAGACTTTTTAGAGGAATGCGAGGTAACTATTCTAACTTCATAAAACATAATCTGCATAATTTATCTACTCGTATCTTCAAACAATTTGCAAGTTCTTCTCTTGTATTGTTCTTTTACTGCTTCGCATCTACTTGACTGTTTTTTATGTTTTCCTCGCTATCTCATGCTAATGTAATCTGGCGAAAGTGAAGTAACAAGAAGCACAAAAAAAGAAATAGTAAATTTGTTTGGAAATATAGAGATAAATTATGTGCAAAAAGACAACCATGTTTCTTTAATCTCTTAAAATACGCGCTTGTGACAGAGTGAATAAAAAAAAACCTAATGTTCTTGAAATATCATATTCTTGAGCGATTTCTAAGACAATTTTTCCTTTTGCAAAATTTTGTTCTTAGTTCTTGAATTGTAAATGAAAATAGTTGCAAAAGAAAAAAATCGTTTCAGAAATCGCTCAAGAATATAACAATTTCAAGGATATCAGGTTGTTTTGTGAATCATCCTTATATATAAATGTTATTATAAACACTTCGTATTACGATGAAAATATTATGTACACTATAAAAAAATAGAAAATAAAACTTACAAATATAGTTGTCTTATCTTAACTTTGAATAAAAAGATTTTAATCTTGAGTTAAAAGAAAAAAATTCTTACATTAAAAAATACTATAACCAAATAGTCTATTGTAAGCATATTTGCTTAGTTTAATGAGTAACGTGTAACAAAATATCACTACTAAGCCATAGTTGTATACTTTACAGTATACTTCCAACAAGTTATTCTACAGCATTTGAAAATGATCAGTTTATGTCGAATGCGAAGCACTTAGCAGTTGTTCTCTCCGTACATTTATGCAACAAGAATAATTAATACTAACAATTAAAAGAAAACGTAACAAAAAAAAAAAAAGAAAAAACAAAAAAAACGTTTAAAAAAAAAAAAAAATAACTTAATTATATAGAAAAGTATGGAACCTATCATGATTTACTGTAGTTTGAACTAGGTAATATTACAGTAACGGTATCGAGAGATGATGGATCATCTTGATATTCCTCCTGCAATTCCTCTGACAACTCGTGTTGCTGTTGCGAACTCCGCTGCTGTTGCTGTTCTTGTTGTTGCCGCGCAGTTTGCTTCGCATGCGTCTTTAGATGCGAGTTCAGCATCGTTTTAGAAGCAAACGATTTGTGACAGTACGTGCAGGGATAGGGTCGGTCGCCGGTGTGACCCCGTAAATGTACTACCAGCGTAGTCCGTTGTGTGAACCTCTTGTTACAGTGAGTGCATTGATGCGGTTTCTCGCCTGTGTGCGTGCGACGGTGTACACTGAGATAATTCTGTGAGATAAAACCTTTCCCACAAATGTCGCAGACGTGCGGCTTCTCGCCGGTATGTTTGCGCAGATGTACCGCCAGGTAAGTCTTGCTGGACACGGCCTTGTTGCACATCGGGCACACGTATTCGTTCTGCGATTCCACATTACTATGCGTCCTCATGTGTACCAGCAGCACCTGCTTACGGGAGAAACGCTTGTTGCACAGCTCGCAACAGTGCTTTCTCTGCGGCGGCACGTAGTCCGGTTGATGCAGCTTCGTATGCAGTCGTAGACCTTGACGATAGCGGAAAATGGCGCCGCAAACATCGCACTCGAACGGTTTGTCCGACGATTCATGGGATAAGAGATGTACCTGACAGTTGTTCTTACTTTGAAACTGTTCGCCGCACATCTCGCATTGGTATTGATAATCGGTGTGGCACCTCTGATGAGCGCTCAGGCCCTCTTCATCTGGGGCCACGTAGTTGCAACGGTCGCAAGTGTAACACTCCTCGGAACCGTGTTCTTTTTTCTGGTGCTCTTTCAGCTGCAATGTAGTCGAGAAACTGCAACCGCAATTCTCACAGACTAATTGCTCGCTCTGCGACTGCATTTCTTCTTCCTCCTTGTGCTTTTCTAGATGCAAATTGAGAGCCTGATCAGTGAAGAAACTTTCGCCGCATTCGCACTGTAGGATAATTTCGTCAGCGTGTGATATATCCGTCTCCATCTTCGTGGACATGTGTAACGAGTCCGTTATCAGTAACTGTGTATGATCCTCAGCATGCTTGATTTCATCGGGCCCGCGCTGCTGCCGATCCTGGGGCAGCATCGTCAGTTTTGACACAAAATATCTGCAAAGAAGAGAGACACAAACGGGAGTCAATCAGTGCTCGTTGCTCTCGCAGCCTTTTTGTTCTTTATCGTTGTCTTAACGAAGTAAGCGAGATATTTACAGGGACGATCAGCTGGATACTCGTGCTCAATTTTATGGAAGTTAGGTAATCAATAAAGCGCCTAATTTGTGATTTCCAGCATTTTCTTTATTATGTAGCCTCTATTATTTGTCCTCTATATCTTCTCTTATTGATGTCTTATACACCTAGGCAATGCTTATTCATGAGCGAACACCATCGTCTTCTGTACTATATTGTAATTGTACTAATCGTTTATACGTGGCGCTGTAGCACAATCCGCCACTACGAAATGTAATTACGTAATATTCTACGCTCATTAAGACTCTTATTTCCTTACTGCAAACTACAATGAGAAAATATGAGCTTTAACAACTTTTTATCGTGTTTACATCGTATTATTTACTAATATGCGAACAATAATTATCTTAACATTATTAATTTTTATTAATATTCATATCATGTAAAATTTCCTAAAAGTGCTAAATTTTATACTCGAATTTTATTATTTATTGCTTATAGAATAAATAGAATATTGCATTACTATCTTACGAGCCATAAATTCAGCCATAGATCATGTATTTCATAAATTTTGATTTCTTTGTAGCAATTTAATAAAAAGTACTTGTAAACCTGCAAGTTTGAACATTAAATATCTTAGCAAGATTCAAAGTAAAATATAAAAATAATTCTAGATACATAAAACATATTTTGATATTTGTTGTAAAGATTAATTGACTGCATTGTTTATTTTAAATTATTTACAATTTCTTATAATATTGATAATTTGTTCACACCTCTTAGTTCCTATTATAGATCTATATTGAAAAAAACAAAAATTTGATAAAAATATTTCATATAAGAGAACGGTATAAATATATTAAACTGTAATTTTATATCAAAAATTAATACATGATAATTAATTAGTAAGTTATAAAATTTAAATATTTCACTTTTCTCTCCTTATCTAAAAAGCTACAAAGAATTTAATTTTTTTAAATTTATTTAACGAATCATAGAACCATGATGATAGAACCATAGAATATGCAAGATAATTTACGTTTTTCAAGCAATATATTTTATAGCAAATTATGAATTATTAATGTTACAAAATGATCAGGGCAATTTTAAGCTTTATGTAATATTTGCGCATTACAGCTTTTTTCTATTTATTGTTAAATTTATATGAAATAATTATATTTCTTTCTCTCTAATATCTAACAACAAATCATAAATTATTGATGATAATATAAAGTTTCAATGATCAATTATAGTAGATAAGATAGAGTTACGCGTTATCAACGTGTGCTTTTTACCAATAGGACGCCTATCCAGATAATTTTTGAAACGTACTGAAATTGATTTACGTATAAAAATAATTTTTTCTAAATCATGTAAATTTTCTTTTCAAATATTAATTATTTCTTAAACTTTTTTGCAACTCATTTCCTACACTATTCAAGCAGAAAATCAAACAGAATTTATCTTTAAATAAACGAAACATTCTTTTTGTTATAAAAAAATCTAATATGCAGCAAGACAAGCTTAAATGCGATCAAAAAGATTCTACTTTTTTAAATGTAGTTTAGAGACGTATAATTTTCTTTACATAAATTATTAACAACATACATATATATATATGTGTAATTGTTGGAATAATCAATAAACATTATTGTAAAGAAATGTATGTCACATTTAAAACAAATGTCACAAAAAAATTCTTCAATCTACACTCAATAAGTTTTTATAATTAATCAAAAAGTTCTATGAGATCAGACATCTTATTTACCAGACTATTTTAGTAATCAAATATAATTTCTACCAAAAAATATTGTCAATGTTAATGTAATTAAACATTAATAATACATGAAAATACATGCTGAAATATAGTTTACGATATTAATAGAAACAGTACATGCATAAGGCAATAATAAAATTAAGAAAATTATTTGCAAAAGATAATTAAATATTGCTATTTACTTTAGTATATATTTTACTATAGTTCTATTATAGAATTGCGCGTAATTTCTACGACTAATTATAAGTATTTAAGCGTCTTCATACTTACAATTCACATTTATATAATTAATATTACACATATCCTCGACCCTGTCTTTCGGTAACTGTTAATTAAAAAGGCACCTAAATTCAGTTTTATCTTGAAATTAATTGCTGCATTTTCTATATATTAGCAAATTATTAATTTAAATATTTAATTTTACATGCAAAATACCAAAATGATTAATTCGCAAACAGATTGTTAATGCGTTTTGCTTATATTTAGTTTCACTTTTTATAAATAAATTTAGAAAGTTTTAGGCACTCTTCATTAAACCATTGCGCAGGTACTAATTTCTTTTATTAAAAACTGAATTATTTATATCAACTTTCATTCAGAAAGATAGAAAGAGATTTATATATCGTATAATACTATTATTAATCTAAATATTTCGTATAATGTACAAACGATATCACAGTGATGACAACATTTATGATTATAGAATAAGATTGTTAGCCTATTTTATCGTGAATTTGATTCGATTAGTCAGTAGATATATTTTATCCGAAACTATACTAAATTTTCTATCACGTAAAATACGTTCATAAAAAAATTAACTTCCTCAGTTTAACCCGTTCGTTATATCCATATTTATTTATTATACCGTAATTAGTAACTTGAGTCATTTTAGGCACTTAGACATCAACACCTTGTATCTCATTAAAAGAAAACAGAAAAAATTTAAATAGAAATATTTATATAAGTTTCACAGAAAAATAATTTTTGCTTTCAAAAATTAATATAGACTCAAATACCATTTACTCATTATTAAATTTTCTTACTGTGCAATTATACTAATATCGATTATCTGTAATTTTGATTTTAAAATATTTCTTGAGTCTTTCAAAAAATCTCCATTATAATTTAATTAAAAAAAATTAATTTATACTTTTGAATATTATTCTTTCTAGAATGTTGATGAAAAATTAGAGACTCCGAGGTTAAATAACTTTTTTTGATTATCATCTTTTTTAAAAATGTTCACAAGATTGCGTTTGAATTTAAATCGCGCACAATAAATTTCAATATCGATTAATCCGCATTTTAATGCTTCTTCATATGATTAAGCATAATCGTTCGCGTAACAAATCCTTTTCCGCATAACGTACAGGTGTACGGACGCTCTCCTGTATGATACCGACGATGTACAGTGAGTGTCGATGCCTGCGTAAACGATTTGCCGCACATGGCACAGAGATACGGCCTCTCGCCGGTGTGGATGCGTTGATGCACCACATAATACTTGCGATGCGTAAAACCCTTGCCACATACGTCGCAGACCAGCGGTCTTGATCTGTGTACTGCCTTATGCGTGGTTAACGACTCGGCGGTGGTAAATTGCTTGGAGCACGAGTCGCAGGGATAAGTCATAGATTTGGCAGGGATTATGGGACCGCCGAGATTGCCGGCCACAGGCTCGACGGGTGACACAGCATTCGCGCCGATAACCCTGCTGTCGTTGCCCGCCGGCATCGGTCTATGCGTTTTCGCGTGATGGTTGTACAGGTTGCGGGTCTCGAAACGCATCAGACACCTCGGACAGGAGTAAGGCTTCTCCTGGCCGACCTCCTGATGCATCCTCCGGTGGCGTTCCAGCAGCGTGCGATACCGGAAATTGGCCGGACAGAGATCGCAGGCGAACGTCTTGTCCATGTTAACGGGCGGTGCGATATTCGCGGAGGTCGAGGCGCACGAGGTCACGGACGTAGAGTGCGTGACCTCGTGCATTTTCAGATGGCTCAGCGCAACGAATGTTCGTGAGCAGACGGCGCATGAGTATCTCGGCTGATTCTCGATATTATGCTGCTCGTATTCCGGACGCATGGCGTGACTCGTTCGCATGTGATAGTTTAGCTTAAGGGCCCCTCGAAATTCAAGCCCGCACGTGGGACACGGGTAAGAATCGGCAAGAATTTGCACCTGATCGATCAAGGATTGGTCTGGATACACGGATTGAAAGTGCGGAGGGAGTATTGTCGACGATAGCATCGACGGCTGGTTGGAGAATATGGAGTTGCTCTGTAGAAGATTACAATTGACAGACATGCCGACCTCCCCGGTCTCGGGCGAGGGCGAGAGAATCTGACGCAGCATCCCTGACAATCCGCCGAAAGTTTCAGCTCCTTCCCTGAAATCGACAAAACCCAAGGACATTGCAACGGAGAACGACCCGTAGGCACACACAACTTTGTCTTTTGATTCTGCATTTTGTGATCATTACAATATGTTTTGCATACAGGCAGTGATAAGAGAGAAAGAGAGAGATAGATAGATAGAGACAGAAAGACAGAGATAGATCTTATGCTTAAGTGTGAGTGCTGCGAGGTGGCCGGTGCAAGGTGCTTGGCCATTGCTGATATCCTTTGAGACGCAGCAATAATGCGTTACAAGAGCGTATGTGCGAACCGAAAAAATTGTCGTCAAGCAACTCTGAAGTTTCATCATTCGCTACTTATATCAATATTCATTAAGCTTTCCGAATTCATAAAAATTCATCTTATATAATAGTATAAAATACTATTAATACTATGAAATAATATGCAGAACACTTATACACCTGTTCTCATTTTTGTATTCATTAATAATTAATGCCGTTCAAATTATAAATGATTAAAAATATGTACACAAAACTGTATATTTATTCCCTAATGGTATAGCAGAAGGGAAAAGTAAAGATGAAGCCATAAAACTTGGCAAAAGAGTTTGAGAAAAGCAAAATTTTACTCAAAAATCACTCTATTTAACTGTAGAGAAAATCTTAAAACGCAAATTAATCAGTTGTAAAAAAATCTCACCTTTATAAATAATCCATCATGATGCGGCATCTTCTTCTCACTTCTACAGTATAAAACAAAGCATAGTTCTTCATGCACATGTATATTTATGTTCAACATATAAACGGCATTCAAAATATCACACCTGTTGAAAATAAAATTAAAATGCACTAAAAATATTTAAAAATAAGGGGTAAAATCAAATTTATTGTTCAGTACTTTGCAGTAAAAAACGACAATCTGAAAGTTTGATATAGCAAAAGCATAAAAAAAGCAATGCAATCAACTTTCATATATGTCAGTTATTCACTCTACTCAGGACTGAATAATATAATTTTTCCCTTTCACAAACGTTAAAAAATCGCGATATGATACTTAGGATATATCCTAAGTACTTGCGCATATATCAAATATTGCAGCCAATTCGAGGCGCAATAAACACTTGATAAAACAGTTTCAAAATAAAATTTCATTTTATACCGTGAAACCGGCGCAATTATAAATGCAAGCCTGGTTATTATTAATTAAAAAGTATCCTTCACTATCCTTCACATTTGTCACAATAAATCTTTTTCATACTTGTATAGAAGCGCGCGAAATAATACGCGCGATGCAAGCGATGTGCATAATAAAATGTATGTAATAAGATCACATCGGATACGCAAATCTGATCGATACGATGTCGGCAAAATGGCATCGCTTTAACTTGCAAACACAATGCAAACTCAAATACCGACATTATTGATATAAATGTCCAATACATCGTTTTATAAATAACAAAAAATACAATCTATCAGAATAAAATAGAATATATAAAATAATGATACTCGCCTTTATGTTTATAATGCAAAAAATCCTCTTCACTCAGCAGTCTCTTAATGGCCAATTTTTTCTGTTTGCAGAAGCTTCAAGTTGGAAGAAGTATGATCCTTGATCTTCTTCAACCTCGAGATTGGTTCTTAACCGATTATTTTCTCGGTTACAAAACACTATTGCGCACGCTAGTTTATCGCCCAAAAATTGTAACCACACGCGCAAAATTTACTAATAATCTTGTAGAATACGTATTTGTACGTCGATTAAATGGTGACTCTTAAAATTAATCGCAACACTAATATAATAATACAGAGTCCTGGCAATATCGTAAAGCGCAGGCATCGGAAAGCACGAAGATATAAACGAGAAATGATAGGTATTCGTTGCATCAATTAAAATATCGGTCATGTGCGGCATTTAGTGCCATCACGTAAGCGTGGGAATATTAATATCGACAACATGTAAACATTTGGTTTCCGAGTGGACAGAGAGATCGAGCTGAATTTCTAGTTCGTGATTTTTAAATAAAAAGCTAATCGTTCTTTCGCATTGTGTACACGTGAGCATGATCCAGAGAAATCTCTCCATCCATTTTATTGCACATATATAAATAATATCTAAAATAAAGTCCATTTCGAATAAAATATCAGATTATATATATAAATATCTATTCAATCTATTCCATAAAAATCATTGTAAAACTTAATGTTCATATTTATTCCATCGAAATGCACTCCATATACATGCTAACACATGTAAAAGTAAGGTGCTTAGCAATTTGCGATCCAATTTCAAGAGCTGTAATATATCTTGTTAAAGTAATGAAATTATAAAATTACTTGAAATATGCAATTAGATAGAAAATATTGTTTAAATTGCTAAACACCTAGGGTCAAAGATGGTTGTGGGGTGTGTTCGAACTTACCTTGTGTTTTTTACTTGCACCTTCTTTTTAATTCAAGATCTACTCAATTTCAAATATATTTCTGCTATATTTCGACTTTATTTTAGATCAATATATAAATTTTCAAGATATTTTATAATAAACTTTCAACAATTTTAATTTTTATTATCAATTTTAAATGTGAAAAATATGTAAAATTATGAGTACTTCAAGATATAATATATTTCTAGAGATATTAAATTCATTTACAAATAAACCTATTATAAATTTCTCAAAAATTATTTTTATATCAATTTATAGTAATTATTTTATTATTTAATTGATTTCATTCAGAAATAAATATAGTTTTGGTCTATCCAGAATCAAAGTATGATAACAGAAATAATAAATAAAATAAACACAATGTTTTGTGTTATTGTTTTTGTTCGCCACAACAAATGACATCTTTGGCCCTTCAACAATAAAATAAAAACAGAAAACTCACCCAGTTTTCGGATCCACATCTGCTGCTTGCGACATCACCATTTCAGGCATGTCAGCAATTTTTTGTTGTTGAAGTCCAGATGGACCAGCTTCATCACACGCCAAGGACACATTCACAAATGTTGTAGGCTCAATCGTTCTACTATTATTAGGATCTTCTTCCCCTTCTTCTTTTATAGGTAGGCCTAAAATAAAATTTCAAAATAGTTTATTTTTTTCATAATTTCTGAGCAATTAGTAATACATTAAAAACATGACTTAGGGAATATAGTATAGTATAAATGTGTACCTTCATCTCCATCACACTCATCGTCTGTATTTTCTTCTTCTTCACTACTTTCTTCTTCTTCTTCTTGATGCGCGCTTGCATCCGTTTGACTTTGCGCAATTTGGTCATGTGTCGCTTGCGTACTTGGACCAGCTATCGCTTGGACATTTTGTACGGAGCTATTACTGTTGTCCATAGGAACTGAGGTTACTTGTTGAGTGCTCGACATCATCATGGGCATGCCCAAATTTATGTTGTCCATCATACCCATATTCATATTGTTCTGATGTTCGCTTACTTGTTGCATCACAGTACCATCTAACCTGTTCTCGTTGCTCTGTCCTGGTTTCATTCCGTTCTAAGATTTAATAAAACACAAAATATAATTAAACTTCATATTTATTCAATTGCAAAAGGTTTTAATAATATATAAATAAAATATAATCTAAGGTATATCGATCTTCAATATTTTACCTTTTAATTTAAAATGACAAATCTTATTGTATTTTGTATAATTATTAACATAATAAAATAATAGCTACAATTAAATATTGTTTCCAAAAATTGTAATATATATAAGAAATATAATTTGAAAGTATTTCAAAAACTTACAAATATACAGCATACAAAATATTGAAACCAATAGTTATTATTATTGCTAAGGTAAACATAAACAAATGAACACTCAGACATAAAACAATCGATATATTTATATCATTTTTATATTCCTAACTTTCACTGTGTAACTATATAGGGTGTAGATTAATTTTTCATAAGTTTTCTAGAATTTACATGATAAATACAAAATAATAATTACCGGATTGAGAACAGTTCCAACGTAACCCTGTTTGTCGTCCATGTTTACTGCGCCTAGCCATTGCATTAATTGTTTTTCTGCGTTGGCTGTTGTATTCCAAAATTGATAACATAATTCTACTTTATACACACAGTCGTCACATATCTTTTTAGGTAATTTGTCTTCCCTGGTTACCTACAATCATAAACAAAAATTAATTAGATTTAACAAATAAAGAAAAATTATATAAGTCATATTTTATTAATATATCTTTTATTAATATTAAAACTGTATGCTTCAATAATGTACGCTTATATAATCCAATATAATTTTTAATAAAATTATTGTAGAAATTAAGATATATTTAAACAATATAAACTAATTGTAAATAAAAACATTTTCACAAGTTTCCATATTATTTAAAAAAAAATAGGCAACAATGTAATATTTCAATTTGAAAGCCAATTATATAAAAGTGACTAAAAAATACATATAATTTTACAATAAAAAATATTAAAAACAAAAATCTTTTGTTTACAACCACTAGATTCTTTCTTTGATATGCTTAAGCAACTAAAAGATCCTACTACTAAAAATTTTACACAATAAATGAAAAAATAACAGTAATACATGCACGGCGTCTAATATTATTATTTCGGTTTCTCTGCAAAAAGGAAGTATAGTAATATATATAATAAACAAATATGTGCAAATTAGTATTAATTGCATAATAACGTGTATCAAAATAATAATTCTATAATTACAATTTTAAACAAAATATGGAAAAACTGAATTCAGAGAATCATACCAAGTCGGCGTTACGCGTTTCATGAACGTACACGATAATGTCGACAACAAAATGTCGAAAACATCCATGACCAAGATTAATTAACTTTGTCCCGTGCGAAATGAGAATATTTTTTAGATCGTGTATTCATGGTCATCACAACGTAACGCTAGCATTTATGTGCGACAGGAACCACGTTTTTAATTGGTGACAATGATAAATGAAAAGCGCGGCAAAAATCTATTAAATAATTAGTAGCATCACAAAGCTAACAAAGAAAAATTTCTGACAAATTATATCATGCATCAAATAGCATTGTGGCATGATTCCTCAGTTCGCGAATTTCTTTTGTCTCGTGTACAGCGCGATTCAGACGATCGGGGAAACAGTGATCTACCATGAGGTCAAGGAGTACACGGCCGAGAAGGCTTACAAAATGGCTGGTTGCAAACGATGGCGTAGTTGGCTTCTTACCTTGACCGGCAAACAGGCGGTGATCTTGAGAAAAATCTGTCGTACGTCACCATCGTCTTCAAAAATCGGCACGGAAACGCGATCCTTCTCGAGACACAGCCGACACAAGTTCAGATAGTCAAGGGAGGACATTTTACCATGTAAAACGCCAGCTCGAGACGCAAAGCCGCGCCCGTGAACGCGAACGCCGTTTGTACCGAAGCCGAAGAGGGCTCCGCGTTGTTCACTACGCGTCATGTACCGTGCCTCGGCAACGTTCGACACTGTTCGGCTGTGGTCGACGCAGCTTCGACTAGTTTCGTAACGACTCGACGGCTGCTTCGCGTATCGATCGACTTCGACCAAAGCCAACCGCCTTCACACACGACAGTCCCGAACGATGCGAAGGTTCTTTCCTCATGATACGTAACAAATCAATGTAAGTGGATTCGATTTTATATAAAATCGAATCCAAGATCCCGAAATTGTTCTCTCAATTACTGCAATCAAGATAAAATTATGAAAATCTGGTCATTTTACATTAGGATATTGAATAGACGATGCATGAAACATAAAATTATTGCACAATAATTCGAATATTTGATTAATTCGAGGTTTTGCAAAGGGAGTCCCCGTGTTCGTAAATTCATTTTTTAATTTCTCATCCACACATGCACCGATTGATTGATCGGGCAGGTGACTGAGAAAGGTCACCCGAGTGCATGCTATGAAGTTTTCATGCTCAATTACTCCCACTTTAGTTAGATGTTTCAACGACGCATGATCAAGTCATGAAGTCTAGCTGCAAACAACGAAGTACTAAAAATGTTAATATATTCATTGATTCGACGTAAACTGTTTTAGCCTCTATTGCCATGCAAATTATGTATACATAGGATATCTCATATTTCATTATATGTACTTTGTATTTAAAAAATTTTTTAAGGAATAATGTTTACTCAGTTATTTGACATTAAATTTTGAAAGTTTCCAAGAAACAAATTTTAGAGTAAATATGGAATTTTTAATGCAACAAATATAATTTATAAATTACAAATAACTGAGCAATAATAAGTCTGCGAAAGATATATTTTATATTAAATAAAAAAAAGAAAACATTTTGTCCAAAATCTTATTTGCTTTTGAATACAAGTGAAATTAAATTGATGAAGTACAGCACTGTACGTAAAATAAGAGTGATAAAGATCAAGAGAAAGGAAGAGGACGTCATGTCCCTTTATCGTTGTGGTAGCCCAAGCAACTTAGAGTGCTTTCACATCTTCTGTTACACACACATCATCGCAGAATTGAACTTCTTTCACCGATTTTCTTTCAATTCAACTGAAACAAAATTAATAATCTTGTTTAGATAAATTTAATTATTTTTTATTCGTCTACTATCTGATTTCAAAAATTTATAGCGCGATCATAATCTGTGTGAAATCAACTTTACTTTGCTTACTTTACATTATAAAAGATACTTTGCCATTATAAATGATCTCTCATGTCCTACGTTGCACTAGCTGTGTTTTACTTCAACAATAAAAGAAATTCAAAGAAAATTTGCTCTCCATAGATGTACACCTTACAAAAATGCTTTGAATATTCAATTCTGTTATCTTTAATTAAAATAGATGATTAGAGAATCGTATTTATCCCAAGTTTTTGAATATATTAGCAATGTTAACAATGTAGGCTTAGTGAATAAAAATGTTTTGTTTTTGTTTTTGAAACGACTTTTGTTTTTAGAACGACAAGATATTTTTATCTATATGTATAATGAAACAAATAATAAAGTATTCTTAATGAATAAATATCTCATTATACATTTGCAAAGGTTTTAATTAATCCGATTTATACTGCATAATAATCATTGTCATTTGTGTATCGTAAAAAAATAAATTATGCGTACATAGGAGAAGGAAATATTGCGGTGAAAGTTTTTAGATAAAAAAACTGCTTTATTGTGGCAGAGCACATGTATCATCATAAATATACCAGCATATAATTAGGAAGTTCATAATAATTTACAAATTACAATCCACTTAAATGTCGTTACACATGGCGGTGTGTGCAGGCAGGGGATTTGAGAATCGATTCCGATCACTCTCTCACATCATATCTTGAATTTTTACCCTTTTTTGGCTTGCTCATATTCCTTTAAACTTTTGAACATCAATTGCGTCTCGATCATGAGTGGCTTTTCCGAAGGCCCTTGAAGGGTACGCTATTTATAATACATGAAAACAAGAGATATGTAGTCTCCTTTCTTTCGGTTTTCCATCAAAATTGTAGCCGTAATTAGTCGAGGAACATCATGTAAATCTCATTTGCGTTGCATCTTACAATATTGCTATTAATATCGCAAATTATAATTTTTATATGTACTAAAGACGATTGAAAGTCGTGTGTTTGTTTTCTGTTAAAAGTCAATTGTCTTCTTTCTGTCAACAAAATCGTACATTTTGCTCTTGAAAAAAATAGGCGACCGATCTACTTGTTGAATAATTCAGTCAAGCAAAATTTATCAGCAGCAGTCTCTTGCATAAAATTATTTTAAATTCTATTATTATCGAACGATGTAGCCAATGAAATTATCGGAAATAGAATAATAGAAGCACGAATTGTTATAAATTTTGAAGGTATAATATCGAATATATATTTCTGCACGCTTATTTTATAAGTTTCTTAATTTTTTTCGCGATTTAAAAACCGCGCAATTAATAAATTGATTAAGATCACGACAAAATTGCGTTATTTCGATGCATATGTGTAGTTAATTAATCGATTAATTAGTTTGTTAAATTCGTAACTATGTACTTACATTTTATGCTATAACAATAATAGCAAAATTGCATGAATGTTTGAATTTTATTTTAATTCCATACCTCTTTGGTTATTTCGTAATGTAAATTTACAACTATCATAAGTATTATTGTTTATATTTGTGTAAGGTAACATTAATAGCAGACTCTTTGTGTCCGTTACCTACTTAATACAAAGTTAAAAATGCACGAAGTTTAAATCTTTCTTTAAATCTGCGAATGTTCCACTGAGTGTATGCGCGTGCAAATTTGCAAATGTACATTACATATGCATAGAGCACGTGGTGGATTTGTATCTAGCACTTGTTTGTGCTGTTGCTCCTCACTGAACTTTCCGGACGTCTAAATTAAAAGAACGCATCAAAGATTCCAATTAGTAATCGCAAGTATTACAATTAAAAAATTTACACACTACAACACAAAATTATGTCATGTACATTGAATTAATAAAATTGATTGTGATATTAGTGACGTTTTAACATATTTTTCATATTTCTATCGGTGCATTGCATGAGACGTTCTTTTAATTTCAGATATCCTAGAATTTGGAAGGCCGCTGATGTATCGTTTCAAAAATTTTCAAACCAATTTTAAACTAAAGGCTATAATCTATGTAATAGAACTTTCCGAATAAGCGTTATATCCTAAAACATTCTTGCATTTAATGGAGTAAAAAAATATGTTACGCGTATTATGTATTCTGCGCAATTATTCTTGCCAGAATTACATATATAATAATAATTTGTGATTCTACGCTGCTGTCCTACAATGTCCAAAATTAGAAACATTGGTCATAAAACGAAAGACCCATAACATGCAAGAAGGTCTCGGATATTATCTTATTACGTTCTAATTAACTAGACTATAGTCTTAAAATGATCTTATATCATCAACGTTGGGATTAACTAAGCTAGCATTGGTCGTAAAATCGTTGATAGTTTTAGCATTTCTAGTACACTTCACGCTGATACGCTGTATTGATGAGACTCGTTTAGGAAGCTGAACGACAAAACATCAAGTGGGAAAGGCTTGGAAGTGAACGTAATCTTATAGCAATTTTAACGAAGCGTAATGTCTCACTCTATATCGTACAATTTCTTTATACGTAAGAAGTGTCACGTATGCTTCGATCTCGTTTGACAATGTTTCAGCGACCATTTCATTTTTCGCACACGTGTTTGGAATATTGATTAATCAAATGTAATTTTGCCTTCACATGGATCTGTTATAAAGATAATGAAAATGGTAATTTTTGTAAAACACTTGATAATAGAAATGGTAATTTTTGTAAAACATTTGATAATTATGAACTCTGTTGCAACATGATTATCGTTGAATGATGTTGAAGATTGCCAAACCAGATGCGAAACAAAGCGTCTCAAGTACTTAGACAGAAATGCTTTATATATTACAATACTATTATACAATTAATAAAAATTCTTTCGTGACAAACAGCGCCACGTTCTCACAATTTACAATTATTATCAATAGAAACCTCATATTCAAATTTTATGGCCATTTATACTATAATAATGCGTGAAATTATCTTCTGGCTTCATTCTTAGTACGATGCATTAATTAAAAGTAATCTCTTCACAAAAATAGGGAAGTTGCATGTAAATGTATTATCCTATAAATTCGTGAACTATTTACCATTTTACTCTGTACTATTATTAAATTGTTTGTCAGCATTTAAGGTTCTAATATTACAACGAAATTTTTTAACTTAGAGACTTGTTAATGTCTAAATATATTTTATTAGTATTTTCATACTTTTTTATCAAAGTTTATACAAGTAATCGCAATTTAAATATACGTACGGAAATTATGACGCTGCCATATAATTATAGTAACACATTATTTGGATTTCAAATATTATGTCCACGTAAATAATACATCATTTCATTCTGCATTTTAGCTAAATCGGCGTGAACACATTCCATTCATATAAAATCTGCTAATATTTGCATATAACATTTGCAAAATATTTGGATTGATAGCCGAAAGAATATTTTTGATATGACAAAATCATATTTCTTCAAACTTTCGATAAACATATCTTAACGAGATTCTTAATCATGCAAATGTAGACTACTGCGAAACGAATTATATACTGACTTTATTCTTAAATTAAGTTATATTTTGTACCCTAACGAGATAGCAATTTTATGTCGCCTACTGAATAATTGAGATCAAAAGCAAACAAGAAAATGTTTTTTTGTCCAGCTAATTCTATAGCTTCAATATTATTAAGCTCAATTACTTGTTTTTATAGAATGTTACAATAAATATAAAATATTATATGAAAGTGTATATAATTTTTGTATTATCTTAAGACGCTATAATGTTTACCTGAGAATTAAAAAAATTGTATACCCGATTATTCAAAATTTTATTACGTAAAGACTAGGTAAAGTTCGATATAATGAACTACGAGTTTAAGAACAAATGGGGAACGTTGATCGTTTTTAAGTTGTAAAATATCTACATGTTGTTTTGAGAAGGCTTGTGACCATTACTGTTATTTAGCTTAAACGAGTTGAAATGATGCGTCGAGGAGGGCAAATCAAAAAAAGTTACATCGACTATCAATTCATGCAAAATGCATGATTAATTATGCGTTCATTTAGTTTATTTTCGTTTTCGCCCTTTTTTATTACCCTCCTTATCTCATAAAAATCTCTTTTACGATCTATGCGATCGTTATTTGTTACTACCTATAATATGTTACAGATTTAATTCGCCGTAATTAATGATAATGAACGGGAGTAAGGTCTAGCGATTCTTATCTTTTTTTATATAGAGTAAGGTATCCATAAGTAAAATGGCGTAACTGATAAACGGTCGACAAGTACGGCTGTCTCATTATAATCATGCTTACTCTCTAAAAAAATAAAACAGTTTTCTGTTAAGTTTTAAATTTTAAACAAATTTAGTGTGTAAATTTTTTTATTATATTAATTGGGAGATGCGTAAATTCTCACACAAAATTGCGCTTATTTCAAATTTCATGATCAAATTTCATGATGTGAATAGAATTTTATAAATTAAAGTTGGTCGTAATAAACATTAATATTTTTATATTATCAAAGTGTGATTTAAGAGTATCTGATTCGTTGAACATTCTGATTACATCGCGATAAATGTTTTGATAAATATGCATGATTTGGATAACAAGACATTCCATCCCTAGAAAGCTGTCGTACTCGTCAGTTTTTTTTTCTTTTTTTTTGTTTGTAGACGATCAACTGGATAAAGAAACGTCTTCTATTTAATGCTACTCGTACATGTGCAATCCAGTATACGTCTTAAAAATATCCAAATAGGTTCTACTTCTCGATAAAAGGCAAGAGAATTGTTCCGCTTGTGTTCATCCTATAGTATGATAACGCATCTACTGGAATACGTACTTTGTGTTTCGATGGATTGACTCTTCGTAGGTAAACTGTAAATGATCAATTCGGGGAGGGCGAATTCGTCAATTTTCCTTATATATTTTTCTCTGCATCGTGTCATCGGCCGAGCGTATTTTTTGAAGAGACCTACGGCAGCTAAAATCTACAAATCTATGTAGTTGTGGCCACTTCGACAATCTCAATCTTAACTTAAATAATAATAAATGGAAAGTCAAAATTTGGGATATATATATCACGTATTCGCGAACTCGTATGATAATCATGTGATGTATCTTACAAGTATGTATTATACACACATCTCTGTAAGGTCGGAACGCTTCCTATATCGTATACCTAAAATTTCTATACTTTATATTATATACAAATTGTAAAATGTCTTCTTAATGAAAAAGTCGTGTCGGTTTTGTGTATATTTTTTTCCTTGGTGTGTATCTATTTATTTCTGTAATATTTCTCTCTCTCCCGTGAAGACATGAACGTAAGGTATATATATTTAGCATATACATTCACGCACTCTTACATTTTTGTACACAAACGCATTCACGCTCCCACGCGTACTCGCACGCATTCTCTCACGATTTTCGCTTAGACATTCGTGCCTCGCATTCGCTCCCTTTCGTCCTTCTCGTTCGCCTGTTTTATCTTTTCATACCTTTCGGCTGCAAGATAGCCTTTTGTACATTTAGAAGTACTTTTCAATGTCAGCTCGCTATTTAATCACACCTGCGACGTGATTCTACATCTCTTGTTCTACTTTATTCTAAAGAAGCGACTAAATATGCTGTGATATTAGGAAGCGAGTACAAGGATTATATTGCTGAGTATTTCAAGTCGTAACTTATGTTCGAAATGTGAACTATAATATATTCAGGATTAACATCGCAACTTTGTTTCGAAATACAATCGAATTCTTATCAAGAAAAGATCAATTTTAAATTGACAAAAAAAATTGTAAAAAAATTGTAACATCCTAGAGAACAGTCTACATCAATTTTTATGATAAATACACCATTCCAACGAGTCCGATACTTTTTCTTAAGAAAATCTTTCGTTTATTCTCAAGAAAGTAATTTCGGCCACAAAAGATTAAGGGTAACTTAGCTACAGACTAAAAGTAATCTACATTGCTAGAAATTTATCACATGTACAGAATCTCATCGCACGTCGCACTTCGTAAATGACACAGCCATTTATTAAGAGTGCCAGAACGGAAAAATTCATCTCGATCTTGAGCGTTCCACTGAGAACGCCCATTCCTTACTCGTTAGCGCAGACGATATTAGATAGAAATTCATTACCATCGAATATCCTAATATTCTCGGTTACGCGAACGTGAGTAAACTGCGAACTTGAACAACAACGGTGTGTCACTAATGGAAGAATTATGCACCGCATGTGTTGCAAATCGCGAACGACATTTTCATTGAGGAGCATTCGGCGCCGTGTTACCTCGGTAACTTGATTCGAACTGAATTCGAATTGTACAGTTCCGACAATCCAATTTCTAACAGAGTCGATCCTCTGACTATCTATATGAAATCCCCCCCCATCTCATTCGACGAGAGCGAAATACAGATAGGGAGAG